AAAACAATTGCCATGAAAACTGCAAGGACTCATCCAAGCAGTCACTGCAGGGTCAGCAATGACTGAGCGCAGACAAAAAAAAAATTGTATATCAATTATGATTTCTAAAGGCCCATTGCTGGAATCACACAAAACATGAGCCTAAAAAAAAGAAAAGAAAGGAATACTATAATAGCTTAGTGTGATGTGTGAAATTGGCCACTTTCATAAAATAAGAGGTCATTTGTGGATTCTTAAATATATAATGACATTTTTGGAAGTTGTACTTTAGAGGTAAATATTTTGATAGAAAATGGAACTTGGGAACATAGGAATTCTGAGATGACAGAGTCCCATACCTCTGGGCAGAAACACTCTTTACATCATTAGTTATCTAAAGAAGAGAGCAATAACATGCTGAAAAGCAAAATATGGAGTCTGATAGAAAAAATGATGATTAAAAAAAGAAGAATATTTGTAGAAGACATGGAGCAGAGAGAGGGTGTTGAGAGCAAATGAAGAGAGAAGTGGTGAATGATTTAGTGAAGCCAAATTATTTGGAAAGACTAAAGAAAGGATGGAAGACTCTGATAAAAAGCCAAGAGGATATTATCTGAGATTCTCAAGGAAAAATAAAGTAAACCCACCTGATAGACACAATGGGATTCTGTTATGGTCACCCAAAGCATCCACCAATAGAGATGACTTGAAAAATAATTCAGGCCAATTCCTTTCTCTCCATGGTCCCAGAATGACCTGGATTTTGTCCTTCCCCATGTATAAAAAAACACAAGGAATACATTTCCACAGCACACACCCAAACTTTTGTGGAAATAGCAACTCAAGACCTCAGCAGTGACGGATGGGCCTAATCGCTTCTCCTGCCCAGGTTATTAACCACAAACCTTTTCCCTCATGAATTGTTTGACTATACCTCTATACCATAAGAAACATGATCTATAATACCGTAATTTAGATAATGGACACGAAACTAAATTGATGGCTATACAAATAGAAAAACCAAGTTGTTTCTCTCTGTGGGTGGATATGTGCGTATGCTAGTAAGTCATCATTACTTCTGCAGTGAAATTCTGTTCCATGCGCTCGTTCTATAAAACATGGACCTAAAGATCTCTCCACATTTACCTTGATTTGTTCTTCCTTCTTTAGCTGCCTTGTCTTCTCCAAGTGCCTTTCACCCCATCTCTCTATCCATTCAGCAAGACAGTGTTTTGAAGAATCTTGGAAAATAATACATCAAACGTTGGGGAAAAAATTGTAGACTTCTTGAAACCTATTTTGCTTACAGTTTAAGGAAGATAGAGCAGATTGTGTCATAGAAAGTTTATTTACGGATTCTCTACAGAACCTTGGGATGCAGTCTCTAAGGATATTTGCCTTTAATTTCCCATGAGTATCCATGCACTATATCTAGATTATACTCAAGGTTGATATCATTGGGGCCAGATTTCAAGTGGCATCCCAAGATAAGAGGTCCTCTGGAGGTCCTCTGGAGGCAATCCAACATGGACAAACTTTGCAAAACTTTTATTGTTGGTCTAATTAAAACTCCTCTTCAACTGCAAAAAGAGAAAATGTAAACCCTTCACTGAAGCAGCACTCAATTTTCCACAGAAAGGTGAGGTCCCATCTCTAGAGATTTGTCTCTCAATTCCAATAAATATCCACAAACCATACTCAGAATATATCGTTTTGAAGCGAAATGAATCACGCCTGGTTTTATTTTGAGCAAATTCCAAGTACCATTCCTAGAAATGCAGTCTAAATAAAACAGGGAAGGAACTGATTGGAGATGATGTCCAAGAATGATTTTCTTCCCACTTTCCCTTTTTCCCCATTCATTTTCCCATGCAATTCAAGGTGAAGACTTTGAC